AGTCCCGCCCACTGCACTACCGCTGAGGCAGGACTTGGGAGATTTAATTGACTTTTTTTCTGAGTTACCCAGTCTTCTGTCATCTTCCTGTCCTGATACGGCCATGGAGGCCGTGAATGAACTGTCTGTCTGTTTTGAACTGTCTATCTGCCCTGAACTATATGCCTGGACTATAATGACCGTTCCCCTGTTGCTGGCACTCACGGTGCTGGAAGTGGCTTTATGGTGTGTCTGGGCAGCACACACTGTCCCTAAGCCCCCTGAGCATCCTGAACTCCCACCCAGCCTCCCTCTCCCACCACCTCTACACCAGTCCTCACCATCGCCTCCGCTGTCTCCTGGCAGCCCCTCAGCCCACCATCTGTGTGGTGGGATCGCCGCGGGTCTGCCAGTCTCCATCGGCGTCGTGGCTGGAGGATCCCTTGTCTCCGCCTCCAGCCTCTGAGTCCTGGACTCCGCCTCGGCCCTTCAACCCAGCGGCTCCACCATGGCTCCTAGCTCCCTCCTCTCCGCTGTGGCCCGTCAGTCCACCAGCTCTGCCGGGCTCCCTCATCCCTCCGCCTTGGTCAGTCATCGACCATCCACTGCCTTGGGACTCCACTCCTCCGGCTGCGCCTTGTCCCTCCATCCCTCCGGCTCTGTCAGGCTCCTCCTTCCCTCTGGCTCCACCTTGGACTTCTTGTTGCTCCGGCTCCACCGCGGCCTGAGCCATCTGCTCCGCCTTGGCCCTCCGGATCCTCCCCGTGGCCCTGGCACATCTCCGCCTCGGGCTCCACCACCACCACCACCGCTGTTGGTTGGCCCCCTCAGGCTGTCAGCCCTTCATCCACCATGGCTCCTCCCTCCGTCGGCTCCACCGTGGGCCACCGTCGTGGCTGTGGCCTGGGTTCCGCCTGGCTCCTCCTGCTCCAAGTCCCTCTTGACCTCACCCTGGCTCCTCCCTCCATCTCTTCCTCCATGGATTCTCTTGTCTCTTCTGTGGCTCCTCCCACCGTCAAAGCCAGCCCTTCTCTTACTCCTTGTCCCCCTCCAAAACCCCCGCCCTCCCTCCACCGCTGGTTCTTCTATGGCATGAGGTTACGCCTTCCGGGAGGGTCGCAAACTGTAACAGTTATGAACTCTTTTGTTGTGTTTTCACTTTTAGTTATCTGGGGGCTGTTTCATAAAACAACTTTACCAAACAAGCCAGGCTTATTTCAGCTATTCTGACTAATTTTGAACAATCAACTGACAATAAGTCAAACTAACTGAAATAAACCTGGCTTATTTGATAAACTTGTTTTGTGAAGCAGGCCCCAGGTCTGTTTAGTTATTCTGTGCCCTCATTTAGTTCATTGTTTCATTAGTGCTCATTAGTTATTCCCATCACCTGTTTGTCATCAGCTTCCTGCCTTATTTAAGCTCACTCTTTGGTTCTAGTCTTGGTCCGGTATTACGTTAGAATTGGTGTGTGTCAACCCCTCGTCTATGTGGATTATCTTCTTCCTGGATACTATTAAACTACTTGTTGAATTAATCTTCATCTTCGTGTGCCTTCCTCGACACGACCATGACAAACTGACATTAATTGTGATCTAGAATTGCTTGTGATCGAGAAACCTGCATGTAATGTGATTAATAACAGTCCTATATTTGAACCAATGTGGTTCACAATGTGAATAAACAGTGTGAACATTTACTACAATTTCGGGAAACAGGAATGACTAGTTAATTTCTCTATCAATGTGTTTTACTAAAGTGGTTAAGCAGTGTGTATCATTGTGGGAAACACACCCCTGATTTGGTGCTCAAAAAACTTTTTGAAAACGGGTAATATTTTTGTGGAAACTGATTTTTTTCCTATTTTTTAATAAATAAAAAGTCAAGAAGATCCATTTATTTGAAATAGAAATCTTTTGTAAAATTAACAGTTCAGTGCACCCTTGCTGACTTTTGCCTCAAACTCCTAGGTAGGATCAGGGATGTAGAATATGGTCATGCAGAATATGTGCTTTATAAGTAATAACAAGCAGCTAATATGTTAATAATAGGGATGCTAATAAGCAACTAGTTAAGAATGAGAATTGGTCCCTATACTAAAGTGTAAATTTTTTTTTATATGTGACACTGGACCACAAACCAGTCTTAAGTGTCAATTTTTCAAAATGGAGATTTATACATCATCTGAAAGCTGAATAAATAAGTTTTACATTGATGTATGGTTTGTTAGGATAGGACAATATTTGGTCGAGACACAACTATTTGAATATCTGGAATCTGAGGGTGCAAAAAAAATCTAAATATTGAGAAAATCGCCTTTAAAGTTATCCAAATGAAGTCCTTAGCAATACATATTACTAATCAAAAATTAAGTTTTGATTATATAGAAAATTTACAAACTATCTTCATGGAACAGAACATGATCTTTACTTAATATCCTAATGATTTTTGACATAAAAAAGAAAATTCTATCTCTAAAGATCATGTTCCATGAAGATATTTTGTAAATTTCCTACCGTAAATTTATCAAAACTTAATTTTTGTTTAGTAATATACATTGCTAAGAATCTCATTTGGACAACTTTAAATGCGATTAGATTTTTTTGCACCCTCAGATTTCTAGATTTTCAAATAGTTGTATCTCGGCCAAATATTGTCCTATCCTAACAAACCATACATCAATGGAAAGCTTATTTATTCAGCTGTTTTACAAAAAAAATTTACCCTTATGACTGATTTTGTGTTCCAGGGTCACATATAGTGCAAAGACGTTCATACATTTTAAGTCTGACGAAAATGGAACTACTATAACACACTGTTTTATCTCGCTATTCTTTCTTAAATTAGATGTATGGAAATTTTACTAGGTTTTAAAACTCAAAACTTGCAGCACAAAACTTGCACCAATCACTGATTGCGGGGTTGCCATGACGCTGTATTCTGACTGGTCCTGATCAGCAAGGTGACATTGTTTCCTGTCTCTGTGTGGGCTGAGGCATATTTAACAGGACTGTGTGCGTTGAGCAGCCCTAAAAGATTTGCCGTTCCAGTCACACCTGAAAGTATGACCAAACATCAAATGACCCGATTTCCAAGAAGCCAGTTGTCGGAAATAGATGTCCAATTGTATATTGCCTTCACTTTCATGTTAGTCTACAGGAAGAGATGGGCTTAACAGACCACGCTGGGAAGCCCACTCTGAAGTCGCGCTGCCTTTAAAAGTGTTTGGAGTAATAGAGGATAAATGACCTTTACCCTCAAGGAGTGAGTCAGCCATCTTTCCACCGATGTAGAGAATAGAATACTTCCTTTGATCGGCCGCCAATCAAAGCACCCTCTTCCGTTGGAAAACACGCACGTTGCCCTCTATCTGTACCCCTATTGTGTCTGAGTGGGCTGTATCACGGAGATGACAATCTAGAGACATGGAGGGCACGGCAGACAGGCGGTCATCGGCAAGAAAGGAGCGATGGAGAGATTTGGAAGGTGGATGAAAGAGCTGGTTTGTCATTTAATGGCTTCTGTGAGAAAAATGAAGGGAGGGTGCCATGCCTGTCTGTGAGCGTGTGTGTGAACGATTAGTCACTGTAGAATGCTCTGCTGCTTTCCGAGTCTTGCCTCAGTAGCTCCTCACACAGACAGTTACAGAAATAGAAACAGGAAGTGCTTTCATTTCACTCAGCGGCCCTTTAAAATCACAGTCAGATTTGCCGCACAGAGGGAGGTGGGGGAGAGAGCGAAGAGAAAAGAGGGCAGGAAAAGTGATGAGAGGAGATGTGAGGGAATATTTGGATCAGTGCATCTCTATAATAAGCCAGCGCTGTCTGGTGGGATATAGTCTAAGAAAGAGGAACTATCTTTCGTTCTGAACTGCTAACGAGGGCTCACACTGCCTTATGATTGCACAGCTTTGTTAGTGCACATTTTCAGGTATAATTTATGCACCGACAAGTACATCATGTGCTAAATCTATTAGAGCAGGGTCAGTGGTGGATCTGCAATGTAGGTAGTACTGCGGGGATGTTCCCATTCAGTCAGTCACGTTCTACGTTACGTCAGTGACTGACGAATTGGGATCTCGCCCGAGAGCCCAATCACCTTCGAGTGTAAACTAAACAAGCCAATGACAGTTGGCGTGCGTGTTTCGCCACGCACACCCCGCCCCGCAGCGCGGGTATAAAAGGAGAGCGCGTGCAAACGCACATCAGCTTTTCGCTTCGGAGCCGAGCCTTCTCAGGACGAATCTTACGGCGCGTCAGCGGGGGTTGCCATTCAGGGGTGCTCATCTTTGGTGTGCTGCAGCTGCCATTCTGCGGTCTCGCCGCGACCTCCCCTGGGCGCTTCAGCCCTGACTCATTCAGTCATCCCTGAAACAGCAGAGATGCCTTGCAAGAGACAGAGATAGAAGATGTCTCTTTTTTAGCAGCATTCTTTGGGCAAATGTCTGTGCTTAAACAGCAGCTGTACAAAATTTTTATTTGTAATGTTTAAAAATATGCATGTGAAATGTAAATAAATGTGTTTTAGTGTTGTTAATGGATATGTAATTGATAGATACATCGCATTTTAATGTATATTAAAATAATATATGATATATAATATTAAATATATTATACTATGAATAATTATTCATATTACATATACATACAATTTTTATTATAGAATAAGTACTTATATAATATTTATTATTTAATAGAATTATATAACAAATAATCGTTGTTATATTTTTGATAATATATTTTTTTAATACTTATCTATCTATCTATCTATTTAAAAATATGAAAATTGTAAAATGTATTGTAAATTGTGATTTTAATTGATAAATACTTGACAGCTACATGGCATTTTTTATTTGATGTATAATATATAATTAAATATATAAAATTAACACACACACACACATATGTATTTATTTTTGAAATAAAAGAGTGTAGAACAGAATAACAGTTTTGGCTGTGTATTACAAAATCTCACGTTCATTTGTATTGTAAGTATTAAATATCTCTCTCTCTTTCTTCCAGATCCTCCTTCTTCAGTCTTGCTTCCTGATGCTCTTCCTCCAGTACGCAGCTCCACGACTCCTCCACGCCCATATACGGGCACGCTCCGCCCCTCTCTCACTACTTCCACGACAACCACCATGGCTCCGCCTCGCCGCCATAACAACATCCTCCCAGAAGCCCTGACACGGTCGCCTCCCTCCCTGCAGACTCCAGTCGCTGTTGACTATTGTGCCCCACGTCTCACTGCTGAAATCTCCTGGCCACGGACACACCAGGGACAGGTTGCTAAGCAACCATGCCCACCTGGCACCATAGGTTAGTAAGAGAGTGATTAATCTATTATTAGGGGCAGTGTGTGCATAGAGGTTTATTTTGTTTAATGTGTATTGAATACATCAGCGCTTAGGCTTAGCTATGTGTGTGTGTGTGTGTGTGTGTTCTGACTCATTCAGTCATCCCTGAAACAGCAGAGATGCCTAGCAAGAGACAGAGATAGAAGATGTCTCTTTTTTAGCAGCATTCTTTGGGCAAATGTCTGTGCTTAAACAGCAGCTGTACAAAATTTTTATTTGTAATGTTTAAAAACATGCATGTGAAATGTAAATAAATGTGTTTTAGTGTTGTTAATGGATATGTAATTGATAGATACATCGCATTTTAATGTATATTAAAATAATATATGATATATAATATTAAATATATTATACTATGAATAATTATTCATATTACATATACATACAATTTTTATTATAGAATAAGTACTTATATAATATTTATTATTTAATAGAATTATATAACAAATAATCGTTGTTATATTTTTGATAATATATATTTTTAATACTTATCTATCTATCTATCTATTTAAAAATATGAAAATTGTAAAATGTATTGTAAATTGTGATTTTAATTGATAAATACTTGACAGCTACATGGCATTTTTTATTTGATGTATAATATATAATTAAATATATAAAATTAACACACACACACACATATGTATTTATTTTTGAAATAAAAGAGTGTAGAACAGAATAACAGTTTTGGCTGTGTATTACAAAATCTCACGTTCATTTGTATTGTAAGTATTAAATATCTCTCTCTCTTTCTTCCAGATCCTCCTTCTTCAGTCTTGCTTCCTGATGCTCTTCCTCCAGTACGCAGCTCCACGACTCCTCCACGCCCATATACGGGCACGCTCCGCCCCTCTCTCACTACTTCCACGACAACCACCATGGCTCCGCCTCGCCGCCATAACAACATCCTCCCAGAAGCCCTGACACGGTCGCCTCCATCCCTGCAGACTCCAGTCACTGTTGACTATTGCGCCCCACGTCTCACTGCTGAAATCTCCTGGCCACGGACACACCAGGGACAGGTTGCTAAGCAACCATGCCCACCTGGCACCATAGGTTAGTAAGAGAGTGATTAATCTATTATTAGGGGCAGTGTGTGCATAGAGGTTTATTTTGTTTAATGTGTATTGAATACATCAGCGCTTAGGCTTAGCTATGTGTGTGTGTGTGTGTGTGTGTGTGTGTGTGTGTATTGTGCTCTTGGAAAGATCTGATACACTTCAACACCGCAGCAAGGCTCCTGATAAAATGAATGAAAGAATTAATTTGTAATTCTAGCCTGTAATTAATTTATCATCCCAGTGTTTAGAGCTAAACTCATCATTAGTAAATCTTTATAATTATGTTCAACAATAGGAATTACCACAGTACAAATAATTACGGTCACACTTTATTTTAAGGTCCAATTCTCGCCATTAATAAACCATTAACTACAACTTTTGCCTCAATAAACTACTAATTTGCTGCTTATTAATAGTTAGTAGGGTAGCTGTTAGGTTTAGGTATTGGGTAGGATTAGGGATGCAGAATATGTTCATGCAGAATATGTGCTTTATAAATACTAATAAAACAGCCAATATGTTAATAATAGGCATGCAAATAAGCAGTTTGTTAATAGTGAGAATTGGTCCCTATACTAAGGTGTTACCATAATTACATAGTCAACCTTTACAATTACAAGTTTTAATAACCTTAAATAAAGTTGCCCTTAAAAGTATATGGACACTTAAGGTGCAATTAAATATGTCAGAATATCTTGTTTGACAAAATACCAAATCAAAGTGTCATTTATTATTAGAAAGATAAATATTCCAAAATATTTGCAAAACATTTCACAATGAAGGGGCAGGTCACCCAAAAATTATGTAATCATTTACCCACCCTAATGTCATTCCAAACCTGTATGACTTTCTTTTTTTCTCTGGAATATTTAAAAAAAAGAAATTTTGCAAAATATTTTTATGCTTTTTATGTCCATAAAAAGCATACATTTTTTAATGAAGTTTTATGAAAAAGTTTTATGAAGCCAAAATGTGACCAAAAATCATAAATCATAAAAGGACCATAATAGTGGCCATTTTTTAATACACCTGAGCATGAATGAGATTTACAGTATATGCTGCATTGTAGGATAAGATTAAAACTTAATGTACATAGACTTTTGGTATGTTCCTCACACAAAGTTCCTCACACAAATACAGTGTACACATCAAATGGACCACATTTATGGTGACACTGATCACTGTTAGTATATAATGACAGAATAACCTTTTTTGGGTCTTAAGTTTGTCTTAAGTATGACAAATACTTGTTCAAGCCACTGTATATGGTCATAAACTTGTAAAAGTTATGAGCGGTATATATTTACCTCTGTGTATGTTGAGTTCATCTTTAAAAAAACCTCTTTCCTGTTACTGAGGTTAGCTTGTTCAGGTGTTCTGTCAGTGCCACCTCATTATGTGGGCAGCTGCCAGCTGTGGATTGACACATTATGTTTCGCTTGTAAATCTCTTGCCCTGCTTATGTGTGTGATTGGTTTGACAGCAATTGCAAGGCCATGTTTCTCTCAGTATGGATGCACATATGCCTGAGCGAATGTGTGTGTGTGCTTTGTGCTGTGTTCATGTTTTCCTATATTATTATTTTTCAGGTGTAGCCACGTTTAATTGTTTGCTTGGCTACTGGGATCCGAAGGGACCAGATCTGAGCAACTGCACCTCACCGTGGACCAATCACATCACTCAAAGAGTGAGTAAAAACACGGCACCATGGGAAATATGCTAATGGCGTATCAGCCCATTTAAAAAATTGAGTAGAGAGCGATATGCCTTTGGCAAATATTCTTAAAGCATAATTTGGCCTGAAGGTTTTTTTAACAGAAGGCACAAAAGCTTATCACAAAGAGCAGCCCGTAGCGAAACAGCTTAGAGGAAATTTAGTGTACAACAAAATGAGCCAGAAATTCAACTGTCAAGATCAGCCACAATTTATTTCACTTTGTGGCAAAATTACAGCAGAGCAGCCAAAAGTGTCGTGCAACAGCGCACGTGTGTGTAAAGTGTGATGATGACTGAAGCTTAACGGTAATGTGAAATGGTTTCCTTTGTACTACAGAGAGCAAATCAGAAAATAGGGAGAATCACAAATCTATGATGCCATTTGTTCATCCACTTATTTGGCCATCGAGGGACAGAGAGAATAAAATCAATATGCCCACGTACATCTCTCTCTCTCTTTTCCTGTAGATGAGATCGGGAGAAACCGCTGCTATAGTAGCACGGGAGTTAGCTGAACAGACCAAGGGAGAGTTGAGACCCGGAGATGTTCCTTCCACAGTCAAAGCCATGGCACAACTGGTGGAACTGCTGGACGTACAGCTGCGAAATCTCACCCCGGGGGGAAAAGACACAGCAGCACGTAGCTTAAACAAGGTATTCTAGCGGTTAAATAGTCAACCTTTACAATTACAAGTTTTAATAACCTTAAATAAAGTTGCCCTTAAAAGTATATGGACACTTAAGGTGCAATTAAATATGTCAGAATATCTTGTATGACAAAATACCAAATCAAAGTGTCATTTATTATTAGAAAGATAAATATTCCAAAATATTTGCAAAACATTTCACAATGAAGGGGCAGGTCACCCAAAAATTATGTAATCATTTACCCACCCTAATGTCATTCCAAACCTGTATGACTTTCTTTTTTTCTCTGGAATATTTTAAAAAAAGAAATTTTGCAAAATATTTTTATGCTTTTTATGTCCATAAAAAGCATACATTTTTTAATGAAGTTTTATGAAAAAGTTTTATGAAGCCAAAATGTGACCAAAAATCATAAATCATAAAAGGACCATAATAGTGGCCATTTTTTAATACACCTGAGCATGAATGAGATTTACAGTATATGCTGCATTGTAGGATAAGATTAAAACTTAATGTACATAGACTTTTGGTATGTTCCTCACACAAAGTTCCTCACACAAATACAGTGTACACATCAAATGGACCACATTTATGGTGACACTGATCACTGTTAGTATATAATGACAGAATAACCTTTTTTGGGTCTTAAGTTTGTCTTAAGTATGACAAATACTTGTTCAAGCCACTGTATATGGTCATAAACTTGTAAAAGTTATGAGCGGTATATATTTACCTCTGTGTATGTTGAGTTCATCTTTAAAAAAACCTCTTTCCTGTTACTGAGGTTAGCTTGTTCAGGTGTTCTGTCAGTGCCACCTCATTATGTGGGCAGCTGCCAGCTGTGGATTGACACATTATGTTTCGCTTGTAAATCTCTTGCCCTGCTTATGTGTGTGATTGGTTTGACAGCAATTGCAAGGCCATGTTTCTCTCAGTATGGATGCACATATGCCTGAGCGAATGTGTGTGTGTGCTTTGTGCTGTGTTCATGTTTTCCTATATTATTATTTTTCAGGTGTAGCCACGTTTAATTGTTTGCTTGGCTACTGGGATCCGAAGGGACCAGATCTGAGCAACTGCACCTCACCGTGGACCAATCACATCACTCAAAGAGTGAGTAAAAACACGGCACCATGGGAAATATGCTAATGGCGTATCAGCCCATTTAAAAAATTGAGTAGAGAGCGATATGCCTTTGGCAAATATTCTTAAAGCATAATTTGGCCTGAAGGTTTTTTTAACAGAAGGCACAAAAGCTTATCACAAAGAGCAGCCCGTAGCGAAACAGCTTAGAGGAAATTTAGTGTACAACAAAATGAGCCAGAAATTCAACTGTCAAGATCAGCCACAATTTATTTCACTTTGTGGCAAAATTACAGCAGAGCAGCCAAAAGTGTCGTGCAACAGCGCACGTGTGTGTAAAGTGTGATGATGACTGAAGCTTAACGGTAATGTGAAATGGTTTCCTTTGTACTACAGAGAGCAAATCAGAAAATAGGGAGAATCACAAATCTATGATGCCATTTGTTCATCCACTTATTTGGCCATCGAGGGACAGAGAGAATAAAATCAATATGCCCACGTACATCTCTCTCTCTCTTTTCCTGTAGATGAGATCGGGAGAAACCGCTGCTATAGTAGCACGGGAGTTAGCTGAACAGACGAAGGGAGAGTTGAGACCCGGAGATGTTCCTTCCACAGTCAAAGCCATGGCACAACTGGTGGAACTGCTGGACGTACAGCTGCGAAATCTCACCCCGGGGGGAAAAGACACAGCAGCACGTAGCTTAAACAAGGTATTCTAGCGGTTAATAAACCACACACACTTTCTAGGTCGTAATTACACAGTTATTACACGTTTATTACATGTTAATTACATTGCTGTTCTTTAGGTTTAAGAAAGTTCATTGTGTATTTTTGTTTCAAAAGAAGTGGGAGATAGAGAAGTGCTCTAATTCTGTGCAGAGTACAGTGTTTTAGGCAATAAACCTGTGGCAGTCCACAGATCAAAGGCTTTAAGGCCCAAATGGGAAAACTTCCTGTTAAAAACAGCTACTGCTCGATAGACAGAAATCCTTACACTCACACACACTCTTATAAATAAGGACACACAAATTAAAACAGCTCATAAAGCCCCGGTGAGTTTTTCCAATTAACAAAAGAAGCCGCAACAAAAAAGAATAACAAAAAAAAAAAACTTCAAAGTGGTGAAACACACATGCAGACTGCACAGCATTACACATACAGACAGATGAATTCGTTAGAAACATAATGAACGTCCTGTCAGATGTCTAATGCACAGAAATATATATTTTATGCATATCAAAAGTGGTTGTTCATGACAGAAAAACAAGTCACGGGTCTGTTTATGGACAGCAGGGAAAAAACAATGCTAAATGAAAATAATAAAATGCAACTTAACTAGGGGTGTAACAATATGCTAAACACATTTAAAAAGAAGACATATGCTAAATAGTTAACAAAAGTTAATAAAAATGTAAAATTAGATATTACATAAGAGCTGGTTCCCACACTGAAAAAAAAGATTTTTGGGATTTACTCAATTGAATTATGGACATTGGTTCCACACATTCAGTTTGAGTTCAGAGTGTCCTACGCATTTATGTGGTTTCATTATAATACTTTTGTGTTAATCAGATGTATTTTCAAAAAGTAATGTGTACATAGTCTTTTCAAGTTATCCTAACATAATTCAGTTATGTTAGCTTAACATTATTATTTTATTTTAGATATATGCATTGATCATGTTAATTCTGTGCAATTAAATCAAGTTATCTTAACATCATTTTGATAACTTCACTAAAATTTAATTTTAATACAAATTTTAATGGTTTGTTGTCGCATGTTACTGTTGTATTCAGAACATATAGTGCACCAATATATGTAAACCTTCATAAGAACTTTTGTAAACAAGATCATAAACACAAGTAACATTACACTGCATGTAACTGTGTGTTTAAAAACGAATAAAACATTGTAACACTAATCATTTATTTCATTTCTCTCAGAAACCTTAAAACTGTACCCAAGAACACCAGTACCTGGAACTGTTATTTCAAGAAAAACGCTTTCGTTTCAAAGATATTTATATATAGATTCATTACAAAATCTACTAGCAGTCTATGCTGAAGATCATAGCTTGAATATTTTGGCATATGTCAATTGTGACACCAAAATAGCAATATTCATATTCTGCTTATGTCAGAGATTAATACATTTAAAAAGTTTTACGTATTGTACATTTTAGAAATGATAACTTATTGTTCATATGCATATTGCATATTTATCCAATAAAATTATTTAGACTTATTTTTATTTAATAGTAAAATCAGACATATAATAAATCTAATAAATTGCAATTCCCCTGTTGCATTATCATACATTATATTCAGCATTATTTAGTAGTTTAATAGTGTACACCTTGTATTAACAACAATATTTTGGCACAAATTCATCTTACTAGGTTGAAGCTGAATTAAATTAAATTCAAGTTTATTTGTACAGCGCTTTTCACGATACAAATCATTGCAAAGCAAATTTACAGCAAATTAAGTTTCTACAATATTTAGTGGTAGCTTATCAGTGGTGACTGTCAGTTAATGTACATATGGCAGAAATGTACGGAAAAATCAATTAAAGACGTAATCAAACAGACGATGAACACTATTAACAGCAATTATTATATGATGCATTATGATGAATTAAACAGATGACAGCATGTTAAAGATACTTTACATCCATTCATCCTAAAAGCAGAAACAAACTACTATATGCTGAGACCAAAATACTTCAACTAGATTACTTTAAAAAAAATTATTACTTCAAATAGTTTTGAAATTCAAGACATTTCCAAATCAAAATTGTGGATTTTCCTATTGAACTTGTGTCATGTTAAATATTTTGCACCTGGTTGGACCTTTGCAGTTTATGATCTTATTTAAATACATTTATGCTTACATTTGTACAATAAATGATTTGGTCCTGGCAAAATCTGGGTTCTGAAGCAAAACCAATTGAGAACATCAGAAGGCCTAAAACAGAGTTCCTGGTTGTCTTTCTCTGCACATTAAGCTGGAATAGGAGAAAGCATTTTATTGTCAAAAAAATCACACACGTGTCTAAACTTAGACCAGTGAATCTCATTCATTCTCTCAGGGCCAGTTGAGCACTGTAGTGTCTGAATATCACTTTACAAACTTTAAACAGCCAGCCTGTCAGTTTCCTATTACCAGCATCTAGCTAAAGTTATCAATTACACAAACATCAGCTCATCTGCAATAAGACACAGTCAGACACCTCTGGTCCATTCAGACTTTGTATATCTCAGTGTTGTTTGTTTGTATATTTACAGTATTATTGCCCTGGCAGACATGTAGGAATGTTTTGAGGGTACAGTGTCTGACTGAGTCAACATAGTGACTGTAACTCAGTAATATTAAGTAATTTTGTTCCTAATTTTGCTCTGATACATAATATTATTATGATACCTTATTATACTGAATGATTGTAGATTATTTCAGCTAATTAGGCTTTTTTTCCTATTTGGCTCCGAATGATTAAATATGCGCTTTGATTTTTCATGTGTTGAGTTGTGTTTGTATACTGCATGTGAGTTATTGTCATTGTAATGTTTTAATATTGTGTCTTTCAGCTCCAGAAGAGAGAGCGGTCGTGCCGTTTCTTCATACAGGTACTTCACTCTGTCCTTATTTATCATGTTGTGCGTGTGTGTAGGCACACAAATATTGTGATTGTTTTTTTTTTATGCACATTCCATATCACTTCAACATCTACATAGATGGGTAAGGTTTTCAACATAAATACTGCTTTATACTTGTGTGGAGCTGTATCTGTCACACCATATGAATCATATTGGTTGTTTGTGTGTCTGTGCGTCTGCGCTTGTGCCTGTGGGCTGCATTTTTTGCATTTATAAAAGCAGAGCAATTTTTTCTCCTGAGAAAGCAGAAGTGATGTCAGCACTGGTCAGCAGTGTCACATCAGGCGACTGATAAACACACACGCAGACAGTGAAAAAAAGCACAGAATAATGTAGATAAGCTCAAGAAAAGCTCAGCAGACTGAACGAAAGGAAAAGCATGAGAAGAACTGATTTAGAGGAAGAAAATGACTGATGCATATCTCAAACTGAGCCAGGCCGCTCAGTCAACCCTGCCAGTGCATGACAGATTTATACTGATTTTTTACTCCATGAAATAATTGAGGTCTAAATGTTGCTTCAGTATTCGTAAGTAAATTCAGTAAATTTTTTTTGTTGTTGTTTAAAGGTGCACTTGGTAATTTTTCCTCATTAAAAATGGTTTACCCCTAAAGAGATGAGTAGTAATTTTGAAATATATGTTTAAAATCACTCATTTGAGACAAAGACTCCAGTCACATTAGCAGCCAAATAAAACCTGATTTATTTTATATTGAGCAGGTCATCTGGGGGTGGCAAATTAAGATCACATGACTAGCTGAATATTACTCAGTTTGTCTTGTAATCAACCTATTATTGTACACTTATGCTCACAGAATAAACGAATCATGGCTGTGAATAATGCATTTCTGCAGTCGGGAGTCATGCACTTTTTATATAAATTATTTTTATTTTATTTTATTATTTATCAGTTTTTATCATGATTCGTTTTTATCATTGCTTTTTACACACCAAAAATCATGACCATTTAATTATTAAATAATAATTAAAATTTTATTATTATTAATATTTAGGTGCACATGGTAATTTTTCCTTTTCCCCTAAACAAGTGAATCATCATTTTGGAAAATGTGTTTTAAATCTTAACATTTGACGAAGACTCCTGTCATATTAGTAGCCTAATTTTGAGCAGGTCATCGCACAGAATATTTTCACATTACAATTCTGTAATTCTGTAATTCTCAGATTTATAATTACCCCCCCCCCCAATCTATTCCTTTTTTTATGGTCCTGCATCCACACCCCGAGTGAGTCCGAGATGACTGCTATATTGCCCAGAGCAACTTGATCTAGTTCTATTTTCAAATACTCTGCTGAGTGAAACGAGTCTATCAAAACATCAATTGATCCTGCTGATTTAGACAGAGAGAATGACAGGATTCCATGACAACTGTCTGAAGCCTCCCGGTGCTGACATCAAGCAAATATGGATTCCTAGTGGTCATCTAATATGTAATGCAGTGTGTGTATGTGTGTGTCTCTTCATGCTGGATTAGCTCCTCAGCTTCAAAGCACTTCAGTTCTGCTCCATTTACCAAGTCTGTGGAGAGTATTGCCACTGTGCGTGTGAGGAAACAGAATATAAAAAGAGTTTTAAAAAAATCTCTTATCTGTCTCCGCCGTGGGAGCCCCCAAGTCCACACACACACACACACACACACACACACACACACACTTTCCCCTGACCTCTTGACACACTCTGTCAGAAGATTTCATAAGCAGTTTTGTGAGGAAGTAAATATAACTCTTCCTTTTTACCTTTTATCCCAGTTGTCTCTCATCTCTGTCTCTCCTTTTTCTCTCTCTCGTAAAAGGGTCATTACTTTAGTAGTGTCAAAATGAATATACTCATCCCGCCTTTAACACACTCTTTCTCTGTCTCACACACACACACACACACACACACACCGCTCTACTGTTACTGGGGCAGAATGATTCAACCCAATGGCCAGATTAGCCTGCAGCAACCTAAAGACAAACGACAAAACATCCCTCTGTCCATCCCTACGGATGAGTGCACTACAGTGAGAGAAGTTAATTACATTACATATCTCTTCGCCACAGATATTATACACTTTATATGTGTTGTAACTGTAATAATAATGCAAGGTTATGAACTTCCATAGAGACATGATCTATTTAAAATGAATGGAATTTGACCTGGAATTATTGTTAACAGCATTTTTGTGAAAGTGACAAATATATGTGGCCTGCTTTTGGGAATATCATTGTAGTCCATATGTTAATGTTGCAGCAAGCTGCACTTTTTCAAATGAAAAGCAAAATTGTAATGTGGCGCGATACACTCAGCAAGCTTTTTAATAAACTACCACCTTAAATCTTACCCCTTCATTTGTATATCAAGGTTGAGGTTTTAATATCCCTGTGATGATATTCTCTGCCAAATTTAAAACGCTTAATATCTTAATATCACACTTTTTTTTAAATACCCTTATATTAGTTTCCGCCGCACATCCGGTACATTTCATTTTCCTATATAGTGCTCTTATAGACCCATAAATTACTACCCCTTGCCTTGTGTGAAACCTGTGCATGTTTGTGTGCGAGTGTTTGTGCAGATTTGTGTGTGTGTGTGTGTGTGTGCATGATGACAGCTTCTTTCATTTTCACAATGTCTCATGCTCCCTGTGGATCTTTCTTCAGTTTGACAGGTTTATACTCCAGCACAGAAACCGTGTAGTGTGTGAGTGCGGATGAAAGTGGAAGAGAAATGGTTTATGGGATAGGTGGGCACTTTGGGAAATATGTCCTTATTGTGAAGTTCAGATGTCAGAATGTATGTGTGTGTGGGTTCAGAAGTCGTCCCTCACCTCCAGAATGCTGACATCTCTCTTTTTCTCTGTTCTGCAGGCCATGGTAGAAACAGTGAATAACCTTCTGCAGGTGCGATCCCAAGCGGCGTGGAGGGAGCTGTCTGTGGCCGAGCAGCTGCGATGCGCAACCATGCTGCTAGATACGGTGGAAACCGGCGCCTTCATGCTCGCAGACAACCTCCTCAAAACTGACACCATACAGGAGAGCACCGACAACATACGTGAGTTTCTCAAACAAGTCCTTGCACATGCTAAGCGAATGTTTACACGCAAATGCACATATTTCATTGAACTAATCAGATTTCACCCCCGTGTCTCCTGCTGCTTGTTCTGATTTCTCCTGTCATGAGGAGACAAAAACAAGTTAAACAACAGATGGATAAAACCATTTTATTGTATAAAAAAATCTGATGTTTTTATGCACATGAAGGAAATTCCTAAGCTGATTCGTAATGTAATAAGAACCATAGAAATCTATGATTTCACAGACCCGTTTGATAATGTGGTGGGTTTATGTAAAATAATAATAATGTCACAGTTTCTTCACATACTGCGCATAAATCTTCAAAACATCCATGTAAGGTTTCTTGCTTTCATTTTTAACACTTCCAAGACACTTTTCAAGAGGTGTAAAAATGCATTAATGCATTGCAATGTATCGCTGTGTGCATGGAAATTCAATGCATCATTTACAGAATTGATTAATTATTATTGTACGTTATATAATTTTTTTTTTATTGTAATAATACCAAATGTAACCAAAATGTAAATTAATGTGGGTGCAAAACTTATTTCACTATAGCATACATTTTTACCTCGAGTTACATTTGTGTTTTTAGTATCTTGTTTTGCAAACAGTAATGAATCAAAACTAATTGAGCCAGATCATGACCACATTTTTAATTGTGTGATAATTTGCATCATTTAGTAAAGAATCACATTGCAGAAATACTAATATATAAAAAAATATTATAAAAAGAATAAATTTATTTTAGAAACAGCACTGCATAAAACTTTGATTTTTAGAGAATCTGTTTGTCTGGGGTCAGTAAGTTGTTTTGGGGAAAAAAATTTTTATTTAGCAAGGGCGAATTAAATTGATCAAACAGTAAAGATTTTTACATTGTTCTCTTTTAAATAAATGCATCAGAACAACTGTTGGATAATAATAAGAAATGTTTCTTCAGAGCCATATCAGCATATTTTTTATATTTCGCAATATTTCGCAATATTACACATTTTACTGTATTTCTGATTAAATAATTGTGGTCTCGGCATGCAAAAGAGACTCAAAAACATAAAAAAATCTTAATGACCCCATTATATTGAAAAGTAATATATGTTCTTGGTTATTTAAAAAATGTATTGTACTTTAGCCCGATTGTACTGTGTATATATTTTTTATTTGTTTATTAATATATATTTATATATATACTGTATATATATATATATATATATATTTTTTTTTTTTTTTTTAATTTTTTTTCAAAAGATGCACAAAAACACTGTCTGCAAGGAGTTCACATGTAAGACCTGATGCATAAAAAACACATTATCACATTAGATGTACACAGCAGGGACACACGCTTCAAGTGCACTCGAGCCAGATGTAACGAAGCATGTCTGTGAAAAACACAAGAGCAGTACACACAGGGGGTCTCATTCTGTCTGACTCATGCAGAGGAATCCATGCCTCGTCTTAAGAAACAGTACAGAAGTGGCCAAAATGTGTACTGATCGACACAGGACTGCCACAGATATACAGAAAGTATGCACTCAACATGGCATCATTTCTCCAGCTTGATGGTATTTATAATTATGGATCAATACGAGCATTCAAACATGACATTTGAAACCATTGCTGTGTTAATTGTGGAACACTCTAGCATAGCGTTAACTGCTCTCATGCTGTCAGTCAGTGCAGGCAGGAGGCAGTTTCCTTCAAGCAGCTTGTGAATGAATGGGCCCTGTGAAACTGTGAGATAGTGCAGATAAAAAAATGAATCTAATCTATAGTGAAAATTTAAACCAATGCTAAAAATAAGGTTGAAAATTCAGGGCAGTGTCAAAACCCGGAGCCTCTCTCTTACTCTCTAGAAATCTAGCAGTAAAAATATTTGTTTTTAAAAAATGTGATTTTGCAGTATATATATAGTATATATCATTTTTAAAATTCACAAGATAAACATAAACTAAATAGAATTACAGAAAGTATGACTTTCACTTTCATATTTTCTGGATGATCAGATTTTGCAATTAATCTCCCAAGGTTTACTTCTGACTATCAATATGTTCTGCCAAAAATGAACTACCTAATTGGACAGGGATGTGTCGTCTAAATAGCGTGTAATACAACCAACCACAGTTCAGTTTATATACAGTACATGACATTTAGAAGCAGGTATATCTGACAGCACCACAATAATAAACCAGCATGCAGTAAACATATAATTTTTCAGCCATCTCTGTAAAAACATTGTGTAAAGACAACACAAATTAAAGTACAGTCTGGTTCAAAAGCCTTAAATAGCCCCCCAAAATAAATATACTATCATCATTACTTACCCTCACATTGTTCAAAAACCATCTTTCTTCTATGCAACATAAAAAATATATTTTGAGACATTTTTGGGTGAACTGTCCCTTTAAACAAATCTCTTCAATGTATTTCCAAGAATCTTTAGCATTATTTTTATTTTTTTTGCAGTGACTAAATGTTCTCTGCTGAAGGCCATCTGACACAAGATCTCAATGAATCCAGTTCAGTCTGCTGAATCATACATGCTCCAGAGGTGTCAGAGTGATAGTCACAATTTACTGCTAAATGTAGCCGTGATGGCACTTTTTATGGTTCTGCATCTGTTAGGAATTTGAGAGGAAAAAAAATATTTTAACTTAAACTTTAATGGTATTGAATATGCTGCAACTTCTGATGAAGTGTAGTACTGTACATGTGATAGCACCACAAATTATTCCATCTGATACTGAAACGGTATTAAAACAATAATCAGTTTCCAAAAATACAAATGAAACTTTACATTTATGCATTAGGCAGATGATTTTATTTAAAGCGACTTGCAATAAGGGACCACAAGCAATTCGTCACAGCAGTTTTTGTAGAATTCAATGTCAGGTGTATTAGAAAGCAAGATTAGAAAACAAGCTAGAACAGAGATGAGGTTCAGGAAAGAAGAAGTGGACTTTTTCTTATAAGTGCCTAAAGTTTAAAGTTGTGGAGTGCTTGAGGAAGATGTGTGTCTTCAGCTGCTTTTTGAAAGTTGTGATGTTCTCAGTAGATCGGATTGAGGTTGGCAGCTCATTCCACCAGAGAGGAGCAGAATGTGAAGATTTTGGAAAGTGACTTTGTCCCTTTTTTTGAATGAACATTAAGGCACCCCTCATTCTATGACTATAACATGTGAGTGCATTGAAGTAGGAGTGTGCGAGTCCAGTGGCAGTCCTGAAAGTCAATGTCAAAGTTTCAAATCTGATTCTGGCAGCAGCTATGAGTCAGCGGAGTGAGATCAGGAGAGGTGTGATGTGGGTCCTCTTTGGTTGATTGAAGACCAGCAGTGCTGCCGTCTTCTGGATCATCTGCAGAGGCTTAGATGCGCTGTATGAAAGGGCTGGCCAGTTGAGCACTGCCGTAGTCCAGTCTTGAAATGACAAGAGCTTGGACAATGAGCTGCACCACATACACTGACATGATATAATAAGTGCAAACCAACGCAACTGGTCCGTTGTTGAAATGTGGATAGTAAAGCACTGTTAGTATTTAAATACTAACTAGGTTCCTTTCTGTCATGGTTGGCATTAGTGTTGTAATCCACACAATCTAAAAAGAAAGTTGTGAACATTATTTTGGTGAGTTCTGTTGACATATAATGTTGATCGTTACATTAGCTTAACATTGTGTGCAATTTCAAACTAAAAATTCTGTTTCATTACAAGGTTTAGTACAAGGTTGTGTGTATGGAAAAAAGAAGAGGACTGAGCACTGAACCTTGAGGCATCCCAGTAATTAGCTGATGTGACACCCATGACATAAACTCTAGAGAAAGGCACCCTTATGTACTCAACCGAAAAAAATGGAAATTAAAATAGTGAAATTTTCAAAATAATAATAATGTAATCTATCTCTAACTGTTCTAATAAAAAGCCCATACTTGAAATAAAATAAACAAAGCATACTGAAATGTCTTTGTCAATCATACACTCATACACAAATACAATGACAAATTCTGTCTCACATTCATCTGCCCACACACACATCCACATATAACCATGACATTAATCAAAACATTGCTGAAATTTTATAGCTGCAGCAATCACTCAAAACAATGAGCTCATGCACACACAGTTTTACAGCCAGGGTTTAAAATTAACATTCAACAAAAGCCAAAAGCAAATAAAAATTGGCTTCGACGAATACATGACAGCCAATTGGTCTTTCCTAGGAACTGCAAATAATGCATGATTATTTTTATTGAAGCTATGGCCAGTGGCTGTTGAGCGAGCAACATCTTTTATCTCAGTGTGAAATTTACTGGAATAAGTTTGTCTTGGAAGCCAACTTTTTTATTTTGTCTTTTATTGTCAAGAACTATATGTAAAGATACATTTACTGTATGTAGAGATATGAACATACAGAAACACATTCATGACATTAGCCTCCAAAACACCATTAAAAATAAAATCTAAATATTCTCCATTTTGTGTGAGAGGGGATATTTCATTGAGAGGTGCTGTGCATGATGGACACTGACTCTACTCTTTAAAAAGTGTAAGACTCAATCGTGCTACATCCAAATTATTACATAATAGTTTTATATTTATATTTATAATAGTTTTATTTTTATATTTTATTTTAATTACATTATAGTGTCATATTAATTGAATTGAATTAATTATTCTTTTTTTTAAATAGTTGCATGCAGTATCCCCTAGGCTCAGAAGTCTGCACAAATCGTATATACACGTCTTTTATGATGCTTTATTTGGTACTTTTGCACCTTTTTTAAAGCATTAAAGCTCTGGTCCCTGATAATTGTAATAGGAAACCAGTACAGTCTTCAGAATTTCTCCTTTTTGTCTTCCACAGAAGTAGGAAAGTAATGCGGGTTTAGAGCGACATGAGGTTGAGTAAATGATGACAGCATTTTAATTTTTTTGAAGAACCGTTCCTTTAATTCTTACCGTTTGCATTGACTGAGAAAGACAGTAAAAGGATAGAGAGAGGAAGAAAGTGAGGGAGCCGGTGGCAAAGATTTGAAATGTAATAAGGGAGGACATGAGAACAGCAGGAAGAACAATACTAAGGAGGAGACAGAATGAACGGAACATTACCAGAGACAGAAAGAGTGAGACAGACAAATGCAGTGCGAACTGACTGAGTGGAAAAGAGAGGATGAAAGGGAGAGGAAGAGAATAAATGAAAGAAAACAAAAAGATAGAAAAGAGAGAAATCGAGGAGGAGGGATGGTGTTCAGGGATCCATGCTAACTGCTGTATTCTGCTCCAGTGCTTTCACATCGCAAAGGGGGAAATTTATCGTTCCTGGCAAACAATTTATCCGCCATTCCACCACTCAAGGCCAGTTCACATGCATCTCGTTTGAGAGAAATAGCTCTCCATGGGATTGCCCTCTAGCCTAGCTTTCCCCCCTCTCTCTGCGTATTTCATCACTTGTGTTTTTTGTGCTTGTTTTTTTTTTTGGCATCTGATCATCTGCCTTAGTTGTTTGGCCTTGATGTTTTACAGGGTTGTTTTTGGAGGGTTTCATTAGAGGATAAGCAACATCAAAAAACTCCACCGACATCTGTGTGATCTCTTTTATGCAAATATATGTGGCTAACTGTTAGCATTCTCATTCATCTCAATGGCAGCTGCTCAGCTGGTACTTAAGTGGGCGATCTTTGCTATCTCTGCTCATGGGCTCTGCCAATCACCTGAGCCGTAAATGCCAAGTAACTAAGCACTCTGAAGCCAGAGGAAGCTCACAAGAACATGGACAGCTCCAAACCCTTCACTAGTATTATCATTGGCTGGGATGTGAAATACACCAGACAGGGGAAATATAAATCTTTTTCAGACATTTAAGAGCCCTCTAAAACAAAATTGGGCACTGGTAAAACATTTAATGTAATATAATTAAATTAGACTTAGAAATGGTTGTCAGTGCTAAAAGAACCTCAGTGTAGTTCGTCGTTGAGTCCACCTAGACATTTGGAACGCCTGAGCCAAAAATAAAAATAAAATAAAATAAATAAATAAATAAAAATGAGAAACGTGTCTTGGAAACTAAAACTGAAATACAGATCAATTAAATATAAATATAAAAATACAAAATAAAATAAAAATTACAAAAGCCAATAACAAAATACTACAATGTAAATAAAAACTGAAAATATAATAAAATAATAATAAATACAGTAATATATAACATTATATCAAGAATACTAAAATAACATAGCCTAAGCTTATAGACTAATCGGCTATCAGTGTGCTAAGCTAGTGTGCTGAATGGTTAGCTTGCAAAAACATAAACTAAGAATATAAAAAATAAGAGATATGTATTTTCACCTGTTCTGTTTATCCTATCTAACAGTTTTAAATACATTAATTGTCAAATTTTGTTGAAAAATCCCTCTCCATAAATAGTGACTTCATATTAAACATCAGATAACTTGTTAGTTTCCGGTGTGTACTACAGACAGACCGGAAACTCAGTTAAGACACTGTGTTGCACAAAAACATTTTTTAAATCAGTCATGAAACATGGACTTATGCAACCGTATTTTACGTGTCTTTTACATAAGACTTAATCAAGAAATGAATATGCAGAACTTCTTAGATGCTTTTCAGCACTGAGCACAAATCCTTTTTTGCATACATAAGCCTTTGAATAAAAAGAAAGTAGGTTTTTTTATCATTATGTTCTTCGTTTTTTGATCTTCAATCTCAAATCTTAGCCGAAAGCTAATCTTAATCTCGCAGACCAAATCTCCCACCATTATCCGTTTATTCAAATGAGAAACGTATTCCTCCTCTCATTCTCTCTCTCGCTCTCCCTCCTTTAAGGCTTTCTTTATGCTACGAGCTGTTCTTGTTAAATGAATGTGTACACTGAAGAGTGGAGAACATGGAGGAAATTGCTTTTTTTAGAGACCGAATGCAGGTATTGTCATACTTAGGTGACAAAAGATGCTCTCTAAATCTTTTTAAAACAGAAAACCAGGAGAACGATCCAAATGACTTGTCTGGTTTGAATAAAGCATGTTTATAGATTATGCTTGTGTGTTACAGTGCACAGTTTTCTGTAAAGACTAGATTCAGCTAATTAGGTTAGCACAGTGTGAGCACCCCTGCAGCCTGTATGTGTGTGTGTGTGTCTGCTTTGAAGGCACCATATCTGCTGTGCAGTGCTTGAAGTGGTTTAGATAACTGGGCCGTTCTGTTCCTTGTGGATCTTTCTCTCTCACACACACACCGTATCCCTCTGATCATTACCCTAGGGGGTGTGAGTTTATTACTTCAGGTTTTTCTTTGTGTTTTCTGTGCGAGTATCTCTCTTTCCGTCTGAAAATATGCTTTCTTATATGTCCTTTATTCGGGATATTGTTTCCCCAGACCTCCGAAAAAGTGTCTAACTGGTAATCCATGGTGCGTTCAGCTCTAAGACAGGTCTGAGGAGGGTAAAAGCACTCCAAATCTGTCACAAGCTCAGTGATTCAGTCATCTGTAGATGAGCGTATATATACAATATGTTACATCTCATCCGAGAACTACTTAGGAAATTTGCACCATCTGACTTGCATAATTAGAACTCACTTTGCAAAGATCGTTTTGATTATTAGAGCGGTATAGTGCGATGTAGTTTGTAAATAAATTACTGTAATGATGACAGAAAGGTATCATCTATTAAATGAGATCAGAGGGGTGTTAAAGTTTTCCTCTAACAAGAATTTTGCCGTTTGATATGCAACAGAAATCTGTGTTTCATAAAACGCACACTTGTGCACGAACACACACAAACAGAGCTGTATTTTTATACTTTATATTACAAAACCTGGGTAGAAAATTACATAAACCGCCTGTAGCTTGGCCTAGAGACCACCTGCAGATATGAGGGAAATTATTTTAATAATGCTCACACACACATACACACATAGATTCAGATGTGATTTAAAGATGTATAACTTCATAACACGTCTGTTGTATAACTCATCGCTCTCCCAAGGGAACTGTAGACTTCACATGCTGATGTGATATACCACATACGCACATACACACTCATACTTTCATGTCTCAAAGTGAATTTATAAAGCTATTTGGCCAGCCAAAGGTATCTTTCATCTTAACTCAATAAATAAACATTGTTCACGATGCAGCGTCTTAACCGAATACTGAACAATCAATACACTGATTTATAGATGGTGTTTGATAGATTTATGAGTTTCTACACAAACTTCGATTTGTGGAATGCAGGCATGTTTTTTCCCCATTTTTTATGTGTATGTTTAAAAAAAAATTATGAATGTTTAAATCCCAAGACTGTCTGCATGTTTTGATGGGGGGGGGGGGGGGGAATTAAATTAAGCTACTTACAGACATCAAAATCATCTTTGTATGATTTAGGAAAGGGAGTAGAGGGGGGAGGATCTGGGTAATTCCCTCTATGACCGTTTCGTACAGTAGTAAATGTATATA